GACCCTCCCGCTTTAATTTTCTTACTAGTGTTGTACTTACCCGATCAATTCTGCCTACCTCCCTTGATACTAGCTGACTGTAACTTTCACTATATCAAGATAGCTGAGATTTATTTGATTCAAAATGAACTCGAATCATACAGAAAAGCGATTGACTAATTTTACTTATGTACTAAAATGTTTTTCTGTACCATACATATTCCGCGTATGCCGCCATACATATGCCACTCACTCCGCCATATTTATATCGCATTCTCTGTCATACATATACCGCGAAAACTGCCGTATATATACCACCATCTCTGCCATACATGCTGCTGCACACATTTATATTATACTAAATTGATGAATATTATACTAGAATAAAGAAGAGCTCTGTTTCAGGAAAACCAAGACAAGGTCAGACTTGCCTCTCTTTATTACCACAGTAAAATTGTAATACTGAATTTCGCCGTCTATAAATTATGTACACAGAGCAGTGATCTATAGATGACTAATCGCGGCCACCTCGTGAGGATCGAGAATAATTAAGATTAAATATAGCATATCCCATAACGCGAGTCACTGCGCCCTCATCGATGGACTCAGATGATAGAATTATATGTGCATGAATCAATTGTGATCCTTCTGTAATTAATGTGAGTGCCATCCCTTCTTGTTTGCTTTTGTTGGTGTTTGTAAAAAGATAAGATTTAATAAAATATATTTAAATAAAAAAAGTCAATCTGATAAATATATTTCATGTCCATTTAAATTTGACATGCGTTACTTGATTTGTGCTCGTCGAATGGGACACATTTTGAATTTATACAAGTCTTATACGAGCCTTTCGTCTGTTTCTCTGAACCGGCTTTCTTCTTGTCTCGTCTTCTCGCGATATGCCAACATCTCGACCATTTTACATCGTGTCCACGGCTTTTTACGCACCCTGGCAGCTGTGGCACAAAACATTACAGCGCTCACGAGACTACAGATGGCAGCCAAGTAAAATATTATCTGGAAACTGCCTGTGCTGTCAAATATCCAACCTGTAAAGATAGAATAACTATTTAGGCACTGCTGCGTGTCAATGCACCGTTTCTATAAATTGCGCCCTCCTGTGACAAGGAAATTCTGTGATGTGAATATAGACGTCGTTCATGATCGCCTCCGTCACTAAGAAAAATATGAAAAAAAGTGTTGACATATATCCTAGATGATAAGCCACTACAAAACAAAATATAGAAGTCGATATGAGCACATTACTTTCACCCAACATCTGTTATTTTGACATAGCAGTAATACTTGGTCACTAGAGGGCGCAGGTTATTTGAAACGTGCATTGTTATTTGTAGGATAATACTAATACATGTTCATAGCGCTGCCTTTAAAAGAAAAAAAAAGGTTTTCCCTTCTTCAAGTATTGAAAAAAGTTAGCCAACATCGTTCAGATGAAGCATGATGGCGAACAAACATTTTGTTGGTTTTCTGAATATTAAATAGAAATATATTTGAAAATCTAAAATGCAAACATGTAAAACAATGTTAGAGCATTACAGTCGTTGGAAAATACATTGTTTACACAAAATCTTAACGAGCGCTGCGGGATGTGACTATAAGTCTTTACTGTAAATAAACTATTCTCTGTGCAATGCAATATCGCACAATATGCGTGAAATCAAACGTCAAACAGGATAATGGCCATAGCATCGTAGTGGCATCAAAACATCGACACTCACGAATGTGGTTTATGTGTATATCTGTGGATCTAAACATACATATACCGCGTGGTATTCACTTCTGGTAAACGTTCCCGTTTCAGACTACGTCCAATGAGCGCTAGACAAAAAAAAAAATCATTATACCTCCAGCTTGTGTTCCAATTATACCAGCAATTCCCATAGCAAGTAACGTAATCCCATTTCCACGTGAATAATTGGTGGCCCCCACAACGTCTTTCACGCCAACAAACAAGGCAGGAACGTAAATTCCATCACACGCTCCAAAAATTACACACGAAACAACCATTACTGGAAATAAAGATGTTAAGCCAATTGCAAGTTGTGTTGCTCCCATAATAAGCATAACTATTGGTAGCAGATAGATTGATCGAATATATCCCTGTCGACGAACCAACCTTGTACCAGCCTAGTTGACAGACTCGCAATACCCATGGGTGTAATAAGAAAGAGGCTTTCAGTGGTGCAGCTCCAGTATCAACAGCATGAGGTACAATTAGTGTCAGGGAAACAAAATAACTTATGTCCATGAACA